CACCCTGAACCGAATCTTTCAACAAATTCTTCATGAATTTTTTTCCACATTTGAGAAAACTTCATCTCATTGCCGGACATAGAGCAATGACTAACTTTCACCCAACACTCACACAACACAACATCTTCAACAGTACTCCAAGAGCCTCGGGCTTCGACAGAAGAGGCCATTTGTTTTTTGATACAAATGGAAACTTGTAGAAAAATGTGAGTGGAATGGAAAAAATATTGCAAGGAGAAGAGTTGGTATGAAGATTTGGTGTGAAAGGTGAATAAAATTGATAGGTATTTATAGGGAAAAAATAAAGAATTTTTTGGTATTTTTTTGGCGGAAAAAATGAGGATCGTTGGATTTCTGCAAAAAAAATTGATCGGAGAGTTGGGGAATCGCCACGTGGCTTCTGCCCGTTAGGGCTAGCGGGCGGAAGTCAAATTTTTTTGCTGCTGATATCAGCGTGATGTCACACCTGACGTCAGAGCCTTTGGGCTTTAGCCCAGGCAAGATCTGCCCGTGGGCTTCCCCAGGTTGGTAGGACCCACCACTTGCTCAGGCTTCTTCTCTGCCGCTGGAGTCGCATTGGGCTTGCCCAGGGGGCCTTTTGCCCGGTTTTGATGGATGGCTGGACTTGTTCTAACCATCGACCTAGTCATCAACGGTGGAGGAGGCTCCATCGAACTCATCCCCAGATTGGATCAACTAGTCTTCTTTTATTACCACATATGTTTACTTATTTTAATGCATTTTGTGGCTTTGAACTGATCAAGCCAATTTGGATGGATTAAAGTTGAGTGAACATGATGTCTGAACACTGTTTTGGACGCCAATCTAGATTCTCGAACCATCGGAAATTGAATTGGGTCAAATAAAACCAAGTTGGAACAAGAAACCCCAACTATGCATATTATGGCGTTCAAGAAAGTTGAACATGTTGTAAGTAATGTCCAATTCTCAAAGTGAGAGGTACCAATTGTCAACATAAGATTTCTTTTAGAAAAAATTGACCCGTAAAATGAAACGCTAATATTATTTTATTGTTTATTGGGAAAGACATACAAACAATGAAATAATATTAGTGTTTCATTTTTACGAGTCTATTTTATTTATAAATAAAAAATAAAAAAAATCTTATGTTGACCCCGAGGAAATCCATATGGTCCTTTCAAATCTTATAAATCCTACAATAGAAATCTTTAAAATCCTACAAGTCATTATATTCTGCTTAAATCTACTAGACATTTTTATTCCTAAATAGTCTTTTAAAATCTCAATTGAATACACTACCATTACAAAGAGGGTGAGATTTTTTTACACATACACACTATTAATGTACCATGAGGGTTTGAACCTGAGACTACTAGTCTGCAATTCAAAGCCTTTTCCACTAGGTTAGATCTCATTGGCATACCGAAATGCAATCTTTTTATCTTTTTTTTGATGAAACAGGGGGCAAACAACCCCAAAACCCAAACTAATAGCTACACAACTCGAACCAAACGAGGGTGACCAACTCCTGAAGAGTCATCAATCAAAATGGAACCAAGACAACTAGGAGCCTTATCTAAAAACCGAACACCCAACCCCATATTATAGCTCAAATTAGTAAGGCAATCAGCAGCAAAATTCTTCTCCCGAAAAATATGATGCACCTCCACACAATCCAGTTGAGTCAGCATCTCTCTACAAGAATCCAATAACCCAGCAAGGGGATGAAACTCAAGACTTTCCTTGCACTGAATAAGTCTAACAGTAGTGGCTGAATCCATTTCAACCAAAAGCTTCTTTACACCTTTCCCAATTGCTAGTTTAAGGCCAAAGAACAAACCCCAAAGCTCAGCTTCTAAAATCTGGCCTTGCCCCAGATTAACTACAAAACCACCATGCCAAATCCCAATAGAGTCTCGGATCAAACCCCCAGCCCCAATAGCACCAGACATATCCCTTCTAGAGCCATCCACATTCAATTTCAACTAGTTAGAGACAGGAGGTTCCCAGGACAGAACTTGGTGCTCCTTAATTTCCTGGTTATTAGTCCCACCAAAAGCTTTAAACCACTCAAAAACTGCAACAACAACAATTTGAACGGGCTGCAAAGGTAGGCTATCCTCCCCACTAAAAATAAATTGATTTCTCCATTTCCATTGGTACCAGAAGTAAAAACAAACACATCAATCCAAGGGAAGCAACCATACCATTTCACTGAAGAACATAGGTTGCTCATAAGCCAAGGCTTAAAATCAGCCTAAAAAAACTTACTAAACTGACTAGGAAGGAGAAATTGACTCCAGAGCTCCTTAGCTTTCGAACAATCCCTCAGAATATGTAAAGCATCTTCATTGTACCATCCACAATAACTACAAGAAGAATCAGAAGAAAGCCTCCTTTTAACACGCTGAGCATTAGACATGATTTTCTCATGATTGACCAGCCATTAAAAAAAACTGCAGTTTTGGATGAATTTTAAGTTTCCAAAGAATCTTCCAAAAAGGGTCCAACCACTGCTCACCTTGCACCAACAACTCATTAGCAGTCTTGACAGTAAACACTCCATTAGGATTACACTTCCATATCTTTGCATCAGCCCTACCACCACCAAAACCAGTAGGAAAATTAAAAATTTGCTGGACCATTTCCTCAAACAAAACTTCTCTGAGCCTCTCTATATCCCACCAACCATCTTTGAAAAATCGAGACACGGTACAGTCAGGATCAGCCATATTGACAACTCCTTCATAATGAGATAGAGGAGAGCCCAAAATCCAATTATCCTTCCAGAATTTCACAACATCCCCTTTACCAATTCTCCAAATTAAACCCTTGGCAAGGAGTTCAGAACCATATAAAACCCCTCTCCCGGTTGAGGAACAATCTTGTCTAGTTTTCAAATCAACATCCACAATACTCTGCCCTTTTAAATATTTATCTTTAAAAATTTTAACCCATAACCCCTTATCTTTGGCATGCATCCTCTAGCCAATCTTAGCCAAAAGAGCTTGGTTCATATTCTGAGTTTTATTGAAACCCAGGCCTCCTCTACATTTAGGTCTGCACGCTAACTCCCATTGACACAAGTGAATCTTATGATTATTCTCTGTGCCTCCCCAGAAAAAATTACAATTGATCCGATCCAAAGTATTATACACACTCACTGGTAACTTAGCAGTTTGCATTGTATACACAGGAATTCTACCAGCTAAAGACAAATGCTTACTTTTCCAAGAAGAAAGACGATTCTGCACTTTGTTAACCAACCCACCATAGATATCTTTACAGACTTTATTATGCAGAATTGGCATTCCCAAATAATTGCCAAGATTTGCAATCAAAGGGGAACCACATATACGACTAAGTTCCTGACCTAGTACACTCCCAGTGTTAGGAGAACAAAAAATAGATGATTTATCAAAATTTATAGCCTGCCCAGAGACACTGCAAAACTTCTCTAAACACTCCCTCATAATTTGAGCTTGTTTAGTACTAGCCTCAGCAAATAACACCAAATCATCAGCAAAAAATAAATGAGAAACACAAGGCCCATACTGAGAAGATTTAACACCTTTCCATCTCCTTTTGCCCACTTCATCAAAAATAATATGAGATAACTTCTCAATGCATAGTACAAACAGGTAGGGGCAAAGAGGATCTCCCTGTCTGATACCACTCTGAGGACGAAAAGCATCAGTCAATTCCCCATTAACACATATTTTGTATTGAACTGAAGAGATACAACTCATAACCAGCAGAATGAAGGCTCTAGGCAGCTTTAAGTCCAAAAGAACAGACTCAATGAAATGCCAATTAAGTCTGTCATAAGCTTTAGACAAGTCAATCTTCCAAGCCATGAACCCTTTTTTCCCTTTAGAAATCTTAAACTTGTGCATTAACTCTTGAGCTATAATGATATTATCAACAATTTGTCTACCAGGGACGAAACCAACTTGATTGGGACTGATCAGATTAGGAAGAATAACCCTCAATCTAGCAACAAGAATCTTCGAAATCACTTTATAAAGAGTACAACATAAACTTACTGGTCTAAATTGCACCATAGAACTAGGATTGGGCACTTTAGGAACCAAAGTAATCAAGGTAGTATTAAGCTTCTCAGGAATTATGCAAGTAGAGAAAGCAGTACTGTCCAAATCAAAGATATCCCCAGCACAAAGACTTCATTGATTTTGATAAAAACAAGCAGGATAGCCATCAACACCTGGAGCTTTAAGCCCACCAATCCCAAACAAGCTGTCCTTAACTTCCTGTAAGTCAACAGGCTTAACTAACCCAGCCACATCAGCATAGTCAATACAAGGAAAAAGTTGAGGAATGTCTACATTACTTTGCAAACACTGCCCCAGATTAAAGAGATCTGAAAAATACTTCACAGCAACACTCTTAATAGCCTCAGACTCTTCCACCCAAACACCATTCTCATCCTTTAATCTTTCAATTTTATTTCTCTTCCTTCTAACAATAGTGGTGAGGTGAAAGAACTTGGTGTTCCTATCCACCTCTTGAAGCCATTTCACGCGAGACTTCTGCTGCCAAAATAAAGCCTCTTGCTCAAGAAGTAGATTGAACTCCTCCACAAGAGTGACCTCCAAATTACTGAGAAACCTATTTGGCCCTCTACTTAAAGACCTTTGAATACCAGCCAATCTAGCGAGCAAACGAGCCTTTGTTTGTCTCAAATGACCAAAAACATGAATATTCCAATGTTTCAAAGGTTGAACCAAGGCTAAAGATTTTTCCCAAGTAGAGCCCTCAAAATTCCCCCATTGCCGAGAAACAAAATCCTTGAACTTGTCATTCTTCAACGACATCGATTCAAATCTAAAAGGTCTCAGATGAGGAGAAGAAGAAAATCTTGAATGCAAACAAATTTTAATAGAACAATGGTCAGACTTTGTTCTAGGTAAATGAATAACATTAGCATGAACAAACAAACCCCGCCATTTTTCATTACAAATCGCCCTATCAATCCTTTCAAAAACCTTTCTATTAGTCTAAGTAAACCTAGGACCAGAGAACCCAAGATCAATCATACTGTTTGCATCAAACCACTTTTTCATACCAGTCAATTTGCATAAAGAAACACCTCCAACTTTATCCTCAACTTGGAGAATATCATTAAAATCACCAGCCAATAGCCATGGCATTTGGTGGCAACTGGCAACAAAATTCAAATACTCCCACAACTTCTCTTTCTTAACATTACAAGGCCTTGCATAAATAGCAGAGAAAAGCCAAGGCTTCTGACCTTGCCAAGAAAGACAAGCGGAGATAGATTGATCTGAAGTACCAATAATATCCAGTTTAACTTTAGCATCATTCCATAAAAGCCAGAGACCCTCAGAAAATTTCTCTGGATCAATTACTTCAAAACAAGAAAACCTCAACGATTTTATCACAACCAAAGCCTTCGAACCACTAATTCTTGGCTCACACACAAACATAACATCAATATGATGAGAACGGACCAAATCCATCACAGTAGATCGAAATTTAGTGCAAGCTGCACCTCTAGAATTCCAACAAAGGATATTCATGAGAAAAAGACTAAAGAAAATAGTCACCTAAGGGCGAAACCCTTAAAAATCAACGGCCATGCCGCCCTTAGGAGCGAAGGCATTATTAACCAACTTCTCATTAGGATCACTCACTTGTCCCTCAGACAAATCCATATTCGTAATTGGACACTCTTCTTCAGTAACAGAAGGAGCCAATGAATCCTCATCAACACCAGAATCACTGCCCTCAGTCCCATCACAAGGATCAATAATGCTAGGGTTCTGATGGCCAAAAATATAGACACTTTTATCTTTTTGCAGATGTTGTCCAGACTCCCAACTAGCCATATGCTCATCAACTGAATAAGAAGTACCTCCTTGCTTGACAGAGAAAGCAAATTTCTCTTTAGAGCTAAGAACACTTGGAACTTCCTTGCTAGGCTTAACCACACCTTGATTCTTCCTCATAGAAGGAGGGGCCATAACTCGAGACTGATTAGAAATGTCCTTCAAAGCAGACTCATTACCAACTTTGTGCACCTTAGATTTAGTCCACACCTTTGGACCAAGCAAAGAGTTGAAAACTTGCCCCAAAGGAGGTTGCCTCTCTAACACACAAGTTTTCACATTATCACTGCCAAAATTTTCCCCAACTTGCCTGAGAGCAGCAAAACGAGACCCTTGGTTCCTATTTCCAAAACCATGGCCATTGTCCTCATTACCATCAAACTTAGGCCTTCTCCTAGGAGGCACATTCATCCAAGGCCCACGTAAACCTTCATTATTGATAAAATTGTCCTCCTTACTCATAGGAGCATCATCCCCCAAAACCTCATCAGCTTGAGAACTCCTTACCTTATCAGGATTAGATTTAGCATTCAATAAACAGTTTTCCCTTTTGCGACCATAGAGACCACAATTATAACAAATCTCAGGAAGCCCCTCATACTCAATATTATACCAAACTTGGTTAATTTGCACAAAAGCTTCAAGGGGTTTAGTCAAATCCAACTCAACACAAAGTCTGGCAAACTTACCTCTATTTTGTGAAGTGGTATGAGCATCAATCTTCAACAGCTTGCCTAAGAGATTTCCAATTCTCTTTAAAGCCCAAACATCAAAACATTCCAATTGAATGGCAGGGACCCTAATCCAAACTGCCATTCTCGTAATACTAGCAGTGGAAGGACAAAAACCTGACCTCCATTTCTGCATAGTTAAATACTGCCCAACTATGATCCAAGGCCCTTCAGTTAACACATAATTCAGATCTTCCTCCACCTCAAATTTAACAACAAAATAATCATTCACCAAGTCCACCAGCTTACATCCTCCATTCAAACTCCATTTCTGCTGCAAACGATCATGAAGGTAATTGTAGGTGTGTGACCTCCCAAGTAACTTGATGATCAATGCATTTTGCCAAGGCTTACAAAGACGATCCATAGCACGATCTGAGAACTGGATACTCGGCCCACGATCACCTCTTGAAATCACAACATCATCCTCATCATTAAGCTCAACATACTCAGCATCTAAGGAATTCACATCAATACCCACGTTCTTAATCAGATTCACTCTATTCATCAATTTATCTCTGAAGCTCCACTTTCAAATTCAACTTTGATTGTAGCCCAGAATCAAGAATCGAAGAAGGAACACCGTCATCCTCCATAGCACACTCCAGCTCGCCATCATTAACAATTCTAGACCTCTTAAACTGCCTCAAGTGCTTAGGAAGCACTCCAGGGGACCCTTCCTCGATGAATCCCAACGAATCACAAGAACCCACTCAGAAGAATACACAAAATCCAGCCAGAAACCACCAAAAATGGTAGTTTCTGATGAAGAAGAGGCAAAAACCCCAAAAATGGCTCCCTCTCTATTTTTGTTTCCTTAAGGCAACTTTAAAAAATGAAATACAATCTTTTTTCAATAATTTTCAATAATCATTTACTATACAATTGTAGAGGTCTTTTTATTCCAGCAGCCTGACGAATGGGCTTGGGATGCCGTAAAGAGAAACTGATAAAGCGCCCCTTGTGTCTGAGTTCAAGAACCAGGCTCCTAGAAGGTTTTGAAAAGTTCATGAGAACCTTAGAAAACACTCTGGGTATCTTTCACTAGTAGGCCGACAGTACGTGGTAAGTTATGAATACAACTTGCTTGAGGAGCTTGTGGCATGGGAGCTGAGCCTTCAGAAGTTTAGCAATTTGAGAGAGAGAGAGAGAGAGAGAGAGAGAGAGAGAGAGAGAAAGAGAGAGATAAAAGCATGAATTTCTTTCAGAGGGAAAAGGCTCAGAACAGGGGGGGTCTTTAGGAAGAGAGAAGACTAAAGAAAATAGGAGATGGGTGTCTTGAGCAATTTCCCAGTCGCTTGACAAAGCTTGGTCGCGCTCTGGATGATGGGTTTTGCTGGGTAGAGAAAGCTCCCTTTTATAGGCACTTAGAACCCTAATTCAATCGATCCTCCATTCCCACTTTTCCTTTGCTTCTTTCCATTCACTCTTTTTTGGTGAAATCTCTTCAACCAGAGCGCATGGGTCACAGGCTCTTTGGAGTTCCAAGGTTTTCTATGCGGCTGGACCTCCCCATGGGAGTGAGGCGCCACCTGCTTTCTTCCTTGGTTTTCAAATTAGAGCTCGCAGAGGAAAAAGAGAATGGATGGAGTCGTTTGTCCAATAGGTATTCCTCCTGTCCTATGGATTTCCGTTGGTTTTTGCAATGACCTCTGTTTGACTTGGTTCTGGAGCTTTGACAATGGCTAAACTCGATGCTAGATATTTTATTAAGTACTGGGTTGGGCTTTTCCTAAGGCATTGGGTCATTGGCTTCCTACTTCCAGCAATCAACTAAGGTTTTGTCAAGCTGCTGGAAATGGCTTATTTGCTTTATCTTTTGACGAGGTGCTAGAGGCTTTAACTGATATGGGGCTTTCCTTAGTGTTGCAGACCCTTAAATATTCTTTTACGGCATTAGGCCACCTCTTCTCTCTCTCTCTCTCTCTCTATTGCTTACCCATGTGTTCGAGCTCAAGGAATGGGCCTGAGTTTTCGTGCTCCCAAGCAACCCAAAAACTTTTATCCCTTGAACCTTCAATGGGCCTTGTGGATACTTGTAACCATCCATACCACAACTTTCTCAGCAAGCCCCGCGAATGTCGTAGCTTGGGTCCACTTAAGTTTGTAGCATGGCGTGTTGCTTGTTTGCTTGGCGTGGCACGTGTGCAAGCGCATATGACAAACTTTTATGTGCTTCAATCGGGTTTTTTCTCAATAAGGTATCGCACTGGGCTATGAATATTTTTGGGCCCAACCTTGGATTTTTTGGGCCTCAACAGCAATTAATGTATTTTGGTTTGGTAATTGCAATTACCCATAATGTCGTACTATAACTCTCAAATACAAAACCATCATTTAACATTTGGTTGTAATCGCTAAACCAAGGGAAATAAAATTGCAAGAGTTAAAAGGCTCAATTGCCAACAAACATTTCAAGTAACATGTTAATTTCATCAGCTCACCTTACTTATTGAAAGCATAGTTACATTTTCATGCGCTATATATATGTGCGAGAAATATATATTGCTATAACAAAAAAAAAATTATCAAACTATTAGGACCCTCGAGCACTCATAAAAATAAGAGTTAATATATATTTTTGGTCATTGAGTTTTACATGAAAAATTAATCCATGTTATTATATGATTTTTATTTCATATGAAATCCTAGAGCGCAAATCTTTTTCTTTGGAGAATACAAAAAAGTCCTAAGTGAATCCTAAGAAAATCATGTAATCACAATCTATTAAAATCATAAGTAAAATCTTGTAATTACCAAATCCTGCTGAAATCCATTACATTAAAATCATGTGATTGCAATCTATTAAAATCGTAATTGAATACACCCTCCTTATAAATTCCATTATCTTTCATTAATGATATCAACGAGATCCTAGAAACTACGAAGTGATTGAATTTTGTACTTCAAACCGTGACAAATATATTTTTCATACGGTCTCATTGTGTAAGAGTTGGTATGCCTAAACACTATGTTAGTCAAGTCATAAGAGTTAGGCAAGTAAGTTAGGCAAGTAAGTTAGGCAAGTCATAATTAGGCAAGTCTTAGTTAGGCATGTTTACATTCTCCATGTTTTAGGGAGACACAAATCCTGGAAATGCTCCATGGTTTGTATACTTGTTTGTAACTAATAGTTACCCTTTCTACATTGTGTATAAATATCTCCATGATAGCAATACAAAGAAATAAGGGTGAATTCTCTGCAAAACATCTCTTATTCCTCACTCTTTACTCTCTCAATTACACTATATTTGACAGAGACGACACCTTAAACCATACGTACTGATGCAAACATTAATTAACAGAACTAATGAATTAAACTAAGTAAGACTGAGTTATATAAGTGATTGCCTCGTAGTAATCGTTATGGCTTCTCTTTCTAGAAACTATCCCATTTATGTTAAACTCTCTTGCTTGTTGTCGTACAATCACAATGACGGGATGGACAACAAGACCCGTAAAATATAGAAAACACTCTTGTCTTTGTCAACAACACCCGTAAGTTGACGTCTCAGCTTATAATAGTCAAATAAGTTTGGTGGACAGTGTTTTGTACAATAGCACTGACCATAATAGAATGAATACTTATGTATCATTCTAAACTTGCGCTTTCAAAAGATAAATGCTCCAAAAACAACCCACAAAAATATACCACAACAAATCTTCATGTTTTTAAGAATCACATGACAGTCGAGGGGAAAGTGAATGCTCCTTCTCTCTCATCCTATCTTCCTTGATATTCTTCTTCCAATTTCCACCTGTTAAATTTTATAGGCAAATAAGTTCTAAATGAAGATTAACTTATAGATGCATATATACTCTTTCTAAATTATCCCAAATGAAACTGTACATCTGTACACATAGACATATTTTCCTAAAGGCATTTTGATTTGGTATTAG